GGCCCAGTCACAGAGCTCGAGAGTTTTTTACCATGATGTCATTGGACGTTAGTGCACTCTTCAGGGAACATGTCAGAGCTGTGAGGATCAAAGATCTCTCCTCTCTCCCTGTTGATCCACTCTTCCCCACCCCCACAGCCACGATCTTTCTGATCTCCCAGTCTGCATCCTCACAGAGGGGTCTGGGAACTCCAACTGCAGGAAGACATCAGAAACCAGAATTATCCTTCCAGTTGGGTCCCGTCCTCCCGTTTCTCTCACTGACAGCCTCAACTCTTCTAAATCCTTCCTATTCCTCGGCCCTCTCCTCCTGTCCTCCCCGAGACACTCATTCTCCCCTCTTCATGCCCGTTTGCCCACGTGCCCCCCTCCCCACCCCTCCTGACCTGCTCTGTCTCGTGCTCCTCTCTCCCTCACACCTGAAGAGCACTCCACAGCCAGGATGTGCTATTTCTATGGGACAAATCCTTATCTGTTCCTTTACCGCACTCTACTATGCTTCACCATTGTGGACCCCTGGGGACTGAGGGCACCCCCAGCCAGCGGCTCCAGTCTCCTCATCCTTCATTCACATTCTGCACGTTCGACAGACCTTCTGGAGCCCAGGGGACACAGCTAAAGAGCCTTGAAGAGGAGAAAAGAGCAGCTCAGCAGTGAGGAATTTTTAGCAGTGATGATGTGGCTGAGTGAAGTAACTCTGCTGTTCCGGGCGGGTCTGCCAGACTTCTGTTTCTGTTCCTGGAAGCCCCCCCTCAGATGGACAGGGGTTTTCCGCATGTTCTGGGGCTCCAGGAGCATATATATCCAGCGACCCAGGCGCCCAGCGAGACTGAGGGAGCAGAGCCGGACCCACTGGATTCTTCAGCACACCACTGACGCAGGTAACCGCTTGGGCTTAATAAGGGTGTGTTCTGGGTGTTGTGAGCTGAGGCAGCAGCCCAGGACACTTCAGAGGGCACCGGGGGCTCCAGGAGAGACAACCGGCCAGCAGGGGGCAGTGCCAGCAGCCCAGGGCACTTCGCAGGGCACC